GTTAATAAGTGGGATTTCTAATTATAAGAATAAAATTGTCATGTCTCTTCCATTTCCCTTCATTCTGGTAATTTAATTTAAATGGTAAATAGAAACAAAAAAATCAGTGTGAACATAAATAAATTATAAATTAGGGGTTTGTTTCAAACATTAAAAGATTAAATCGGGTTGTACGATGAATAAGAAATTTCAGAATATAGTTAAATGAGTGTATTTTTGAAGTTTTTGTCCAAGTTGTAATTTAATTTTGGTCCTATTTAGTAATAAAGAAGATAGTTTTGGCATTATTGCTGCTCTCTCAAATGTTACTAAAGCTCCAATTACTTCAACGAAACTTCAACCTTTACAAGACCTCTTCAATATAAATATTTTAAGTTTGGCTCTCACATTCAACGGATTTCATCTTCCACCGATTCAGCAAAACTTTCGAAGGATCTTTCGCGCCTGCTAAAATAAATGGGCCAATTTGCAGCCTTTGCCCGTCGAATTTCTCGTCGTCCCGCACAAAGAAACCTTCTTTGATAGGACGCGTACGTCGATCTCTACCCGGCAATTAGGCAACTTTTAATTTGATTGCTGCACATAATCACGAGGAAAGTTGACTGAGCGCGCGCGGGTGGTATGAATTTTTGCTGTTCACTTATAAAAGCGTTGGCCCGAGGCTGTGTGCATCTCAATTTTCCCAAGAGTGTTCCATCTCTTGCGTCACTTTGTCTCTCATCCGACCGACGACGAGTTTGCTTGCTTGCATTCTCGCCGCCGCTCAATTATTATACGCGGGGCAAATTGGCGCGGCGGCTCTTCTCTTTTCATTGCACGCCGCCCTCAAACGACCGAGGAAAATGAAAAACACGGCCCTTCTTTTGTAACGCGCGCGACGGCCGGTGCAAGAAGACTGCGCAAAAGTAGCGTGTCCGCCGTTTGCTGCTCGCTTTGAATGGACGCCCGTTTAAATATTCAGCACCCAATTCAGACCGACGAACAAAAAGCCGACGAGCAGTCCTCGCAATTTCAAACGAGACTTGATTGGAAGAGGCGCAGCCCGCGGGCGAGAATTTTCCGCTGTTTGTTTTGAAACGTTTTTTATACGGGGCATTTATTTACTCTTATTATTCTGCCTCCATATTATTTACTTTCTTATTTACTTTTTTACGTATTATTATTTGCTATTAGCAAACTTGTCATGCGGATATTACAAATCACTCGAAAGGTGCTTCTCCTTTGACCCGCCATATAGTTGACGCTGTTTTTACACTTGCTATTGGTCATGTTGATAATGATTCAGCAGTGGAGACGAGCGCGAGAGAGGATATTACGGCTGTCACGCCTGCTAAGGCAGGTCATGTTAGTTAAATACAAGTTTGTTTACTGAAGATTTTAGTTCAAGAAATGCAGATTGTTGGTGACATACATAATTATGAAACAAGAGCAGTTGGAGATTTTTATGTTTCCAAAAGCAATAGTAAATTTGGAGACGATCAACATTTTAAAACGGCCTCCAATTATTAAATAAGATTCCATCAGATATTAATAGTGTATTGAGGGTAAAAAAAAATCGATCAAAAAGGCGTGTGTAAAAGTTATTTAACAAAAAGTCAAGATATGGTAATGTTGTGATTGAAAAGTGACAATTCATTAATTACTGTCGTCAACAGTGCAATGGAAAAAATTTATTATACAAAATTTTTTCAATACACATGTTCTAGTCCTGAATGAGCAAACATAATTACATTAAATTAAATAAAAAAAGGTCTGAGAAATATTGCTTTGATATTTTCAAAGACTTGTTCTTTTGCCCTCAAAAAATTTTGAACATACAAATTTGCAATACAATTTGCATTTAAATATTTGCTTGAATATTTTTTAATTTGAGACTGATGTTTGCAATGGACCAATTTATTGACTTAATTCATTTTTTTCCAAGTATCAAGAAGCCTCTAGATTTATTAATACATTTTAAAAGAATTTGTATTGTCCTCAATTTGATATTTGGTAGTGCTATCCTTATAAATTGTGATTTGTGTGCGCATCTTATATTTTTCCATCAAATTTATATTTTTTTATTTTATTTTATTATTTACTAAATTATTCCTCATAATTATACCACAAATACCTTGAATAAAATAAATATTTCATTTAGTTTTAAAATATTTAAAAGGATTTTTTTTATACCAAAACAATGAAAAGCAATTTATCGAGAATCTCAGATTACAAAGGTAGAATAGCATCAAGTGAGAGATAAACTCAATTTGAGCGCCTGAACTTTTCTCTTTTCGTGGCTTTTCCAACCCGCTTCCTTTCCTCTTCCGACGGCCGAACCAAAGTTTGCTCAGGGATAACTTTGCAGACGATATCTGCAATGCCTTGGCGCGCAGAGAGAAATTGCGTGTTCGGCAAACGCAATTCGCACGGCAATAAGAAGCAATAACTCGCAGGCGATCATGAATCATGTTGCCACGCGGTGCGACGTGAGAACGACGAGGAAGAAGACGAATGAATGAATTTTTATGAAGTACCTGGCGCGTCACTCAAGTCAGCACCTCAACGGCAACAAGTATTGAGATGGATCAGTTTGCACAAGTAAATACTTATTTCTCACGCAGTTCACCGTTAAATGACCTTTTATGCATAACAAGAAGTGAAAAATAAAAATAAATATAAAATTTTTTTAAACATTATTTTTATAAAATTAAATTTTCTTTTGATTTGGAAAATTAAATATTAAATAAAAATAATTTATAATATATAATTTTTTTAGCCATAAACAATTTTTTCAGTATTTTAAAGCTAACATTTTTGAATTTTTCTATTAAAAATTTAAATTGTTAATTTGTAAATTTCAAAATAATTTAGTAAATAACCTTGATCCTACTCAGTCAATGCTGAATTTAATAATAATTAATTATAATGGGCTACATTAGCATTTCGTCATATTCACCATGCTTTCAAAAAATCACACAATGTTAATAAAATCAATACCTTTTTTCACCATAAATACATAATTTTATAATAGTTAAGCTATATATTCAAATAAATAATTATTTGTCAGCCTTGCAAACCCTTTCATTAATCTAGCGTGACTTTTATTTTGAGATACGGAAATAATAAAAATTCAAAATCTCAAAAGCTGAAATGGTCTATTTTGGGTCTCTTCCGGCCAAGTTTCGACAAAGCTCATACAAAATTCATCGGGCTCCAGCACTTCTTCGAGTTGCCAAAAGAGGACGAATTTTATACCCTTTTACTTTTCTTTTCTTCGCTAACGGCAGCAGCTGCCGCGTCGGGAAACAGAAATATGTGCAAAAGTCAAGTGAGCAAATTCGCCGGATGATGATACCTATAGTACGGCGGGCGAGAGCAAAGAACTAACGGGCCCATATTTTCCACCAGCTTTATTGCCTCACGTGAATAAAACTCGGCCATTCTCTCTCTTTATATTCGCGAGGTATATTATCGTCAGCTATACATACACGCAGCTGCGCGAAAAACTCGCATGCTTTTTTTCATCGTGCACGTAGCGAGAGAGGTAAATACTCTTTGCTCCTTGATGTGCCGGCGCCGCTTTTCGGAGCGGCAAAACGCGGCCCCCGGACGCAACGCATGCTGAGCTGCTTTTTTCATTAAAAACTCACTCTTTTGCGTGTGCACACACACGGGCGCGCTCCGACACAGAGGGCACAAAAGCGCAAATAATATTCTGCTCTTTGTTGGCGTTCGGACATTAATATTTAATTAGCTGCCTTGCTTGTTTCAAACAATCCGCAGCTCTCACTGAAAGTGACCCCGACATTTCCATACGCCAGCCTCAAATTCGAAAGCTATAATGTGCCCTTTGGGCGGAAAAAAAAATAACAATTCATGCTTGTGATAATAAAAAAAGCTCTCTGTGAGGATTGATGAGTTTAAGTGGTCGGGAAAATTGATCACTTTTTTATAATCTCTGATGGTGAAGGTTGGAATTTCATTAAATGGCTAGTGATGAGTCTGTTTCAAACATTTAATCAAGGGGATGGGTTGTTTGTAATCGACCAAATCAAAGCTGGTGTATGATCAACGTGATAAAAAGTCGCTCTTTTGTGGGCAATTCCGTATTAAAAGAGTCGAGTTACAAACACAAAAATGTAGAATTTAAATTGATTTAAAATTCAATAGACGAAATAAAATATTTTAAAATAACAATTTATTTTAATTAAAACTTTAAAACTATCACATTTTAATTTTTCATAGAACTATAAATACAAAAGAAATTAAAAAAAAAATCATTATCATTTATTCTTCAAATTTAAAAACAAAAATGGCAATCTTCAGACAATTGAAAACAATCAGATTTGTGGTTTATATTAAAGTGGAAAAATTCATAATTTTAATTAATCAATTTTGAAATAATTTTAGAAACGCTTTGTAAACAAATAATAAAATTAAATTAATTTTGGAGTTATTCAAGCCATTAAAGCACTGGAACTATTTCGCTGCCGTTGTTACGGTGGAAACTGAAGTTGTCGTGCTTGTAGTTGTTGTGGTCGTTGAAGTTCGACCAAAGACGTTTGCAATCTGCTCAAAAACCGCTTGAACAATGTAGCCAAGTTCTGGCAGTCCGTGGCGCGCCTCCGCGTCTTCCTCTGCAAGACTTCTTGCCGCGACCACCTGCACTGCTATGCTCGCGAATTAACACATGACATTCTCAAACTTTGCAAATACTAACCCAAGAGCACGCCGACGACCATCATTACCAGGTGCATTTCGAAAGGAAAGTGTTTGAAAACATTAAAAAACTTCTCCATTGTGCAACTAATCTTATCAATTCCAAAAAGAAGCAATTAGAAAATTATCTTATTTCACTCGAAAACAATCCTTTTTTGTTTAGACCTATAATTTTCATGACATTTAAGTCAATTTTCTTTTCACTGTCCTGACAACATAATTATTGTGTTTCGTATATTTATACAAACTGATAACATTTTATATTACATGGTGCTGTTGTTTCAAAATTTCATCACTTCAGCTGAAGCGTTTTTGTGCGATGGTTCCCTCGAACTCGATGCGACTTTTTATTTACCTCGTCATCGTCGTAGGTGAGTTTCGGGAATCGATTTGCCAATAAATTCGGCGATAATTTAGCGGACCGGTGGGTGACATTTGGATAATTGCTCGCTGCACGGAGGGCGATTCGTCGATTTTTCCGCTGTGCGCGTTGAAAGCTTTTGCCGCAAATTGCGTGCGGTCGAATCACTTTTGGCGCGCACTTTATCGGTTTCATCGCCCATCTATAAAGCATCAGTGTGAATTTTACCGCTGATTATACCAAACTCTTTTCTAACACTTGGTATTTCGGTTATGTTCATACCCTAGATTCAATGAAAATTATTTGATGTTGATGTGTAAAAATGATTTTCTCTCCAAAAGTTTTTCAAAATTATGCTACTAACTTGTCTGATAAAAATCAATGTATCAATAGAAATTAATATTCTTTTAATTAGTCTTTTTAACTTTTTAAAAGTAATTTGCAATAAAATGTATCATTTTAAATTTATTACTTTCATCATTAATTTTAATATATATTTTTTTGGAAATGAAGATTCGGGCTTTTCCTCGCAACGAGGAAAAGCCCGAATCTTCATTTCCATGATCATCTCCTCGAGTGTCAACTTCTTCAAACAAATATATTTTTTTAACAACATATTTTTAGTATTTTAAAAATTATTTTAGCATTAAATTTTTTTGTATCTATTAAGCCTATTAAGTTCAAACAAAAATTTATTTACATTATTGTACATATATAGTAAAGTAAGTATATGCATTAAAGCAAATTTAAAGAAGAGTTTATAAATAAATTCTGTATAGTAATGTAATCAATTAAATTTGTACACTAATTGTAAAAAATATCAAAGTACATGAACGTTGATGAATGTAAGATCTGCCATTTTGAGACTCTACATATATGATATTAAGAAAAAAATGACGAACGCCATTTTGCTAAGTTTTTTATTCTATGAAATTAACTATGCTGTCTCTCTCTTATTCTATAAGCCAACAGAATCCGTTAAAATAAATCCTTTTGACTCATTTCGCAGGAGACGCGTCTGCGTCTGCGGTGGGTGTGCGAAAATCCGACTTGTTCTTCTCCTTGATTATGACGACTCTGCTCCTCATCGTGCTTCATCGTCAGCGTCTGCGGAAGACAAGCTGACACCTGCCACGGCGCGCCGAGCAGAACAAGAAGAAATGGTAACTAGCCGAGTGCCAATCACGATCACACGCAGCGCTGATCAAGATTGGAAGCAACTGCGCGCCCATAAAATATACTTCTTCTTTTATTGCAATAATTTATATACAAATGCATCGCTATGCTGCAGAAGACACTTGAGAAATTGCACTCGATAGAATTCCTATATTTCACAAAGGGGATTAACTAGCATTGAGATTTTTCTACTCTCATTAGTACGTCACGATCGTGATTCAATTTGCAATATTGAACTGCGTCTCTTCTTCATTATTTCTTTCATTGTTTTACAGATGAACCTTATTCTTTTTCTTCTGTCAATTATTTAACTTATTTAAAAAGACAAATAAGTAAAAATCTCCTTGGTTTTAAAGAAAAGAGATTTTTTTTTAAATTTACACCGCTTAAGAATCCTTTAAAAAAGATCTTGTTATATGAATTTTTTGGTAATGATTTCTCAGTTAAATATATGACGTATGAATTCAATTTAAAATATTATTTTTTTAACGAAAATTTATGCCAATTTCAAAATTTACTCTAAAAGTATTAAAAGCAAATATCTCTTACAAGTTTCATCCTCCCAAATGAAGAAATGAAATTAGAGAGGATAAATTACCATTCATATTGCATTAAATCTATTAAATGCCATTTTTTTTTCAACCCATAATCTGTTTCAGTTTCTAGAGCCCATGGGCGGGAGGTCGTTTCTGCCTGAAGTCGGCGAGTTCATTTCAAGCGTTGGCAAATTGCTGGGCACCCTGCTCGGCACAACCACCGCCAAGCCGAAAACCTGGGCTAGCTAGCTCGCCTCCACCGCTGCCGCCGCCGCCGCCGTTCCTAAATTGAAAAATCAATTGATTGCAGCCATCAATTTCACTCTCTTTCACTCGCCGCCTCTCCGCTTTCCATCCGGCAGCGGCTAAACAGCGCAAAAAATATAATCCAGAGAGAGGAAACGTGTGTGCGCCACTGCAACTAGATTAAATAATGAGTTTGCAATTCATTCAACTTCAATGACTTTCAATTAATTCACGCGTGACTCTGACTGCTGCGCAAATAATTGATCTCTCCAATGCGAAATTCAATTTAACATTCTCTAATTAAAATTTAACTGTGCTCTTTGCTACTGTTTTTTGCTTCCAATCATGCAAATGAGTAATTATAATTGTTCTATTTCTATCACAATCACAAAAAAATTTTAATGTGCGTGAATCAAAAGGTTTCTGAGTAAACTTTTAGTCAGGGCACAGAAAAAAATTCTTAAATTTTTGTTTTAAGTTATTTTAAGAAAAATTGAAATTAAAAGATACAAATTAATTAAATATTCATAGGTATCAGTCTTTTATCTTAAGAAATAAAAAATTATAAACAATTTGTAAAAATTTATTTAAAGAAAAATTATTTAGGCAGTTTAAGTTCTTTTGTTTTGTGAGCAATTTTTGTCCTATAATTATAAAATTAATCAATGAATTAACAAACCATAAAATATATTTATAAAAATGAAAAAAATGTATAGTGGGAAAAATTATAGCATTTGACTTTATATTTTTGTTTAATTGCAATTAATTTCTGTTGTGCTGACAAATGAATTTTTTATAATCCCTTATCTCTTTTTTATTATAGCAATGTAAGCAATCCCCCTCAAGGCTATAAATAAATACCACTTCCCCGCAAGACGCAAGAGAGCTCGAGGAAAAATCTAATATTTATACGCACGATCATTTTGCGACAAAAACTCGGCTCTTTCCTTTTTTTTCTTTCTCTTTTGCACACACAAACATAATACATACGCATAGAACGGCGGCAGAGTGGTGGTGCTGCTGCTGGAAAAGTGATATTTCTCCCATTGTTCCATCTGCGAAATTGAATTTTCTCCGCGCCATTGTTTCACAGCCGAGTGCCGCGCGTTATTGCAAAATGAGAGCTTCTTATTTCCTTGGGCGAGATCCGTCACTGCTTTTTTTCCGGCGTAACAACAATTTCTAAAAGCTCTAATGAAAAAAAAATTATATGAAAAAAAAAAGAAAGAAAGCTATTTTGGTGCGACTTGCGGCGCCTCATTATAAACTGAATTTGCCCAACCATGAAAGATTTGTTGAAATTGATGGAAAAGTGGATTTCTTTTCAAATTTGATCTTGGATATTTAATACCGGTTCTTTCCTTTAAATAATTAATGTCAACAAATTCCAAATTTCATAATAATATACTGTTTTTTAATAAAGTGATGCTTTTTTCTTGAATTTTTACAGGTGCATCTGGAAAAAAAACTTCTGAAAAGTTCATTATGTGTAAGGATATCAAAATTATTTTGAGAATAAGCATAATTTTTTCTAAACCAAAGTAATGAAAATTAAAATTTAGCTACTTTGAATTTCAATGAAATGCGCTTTTTCAGGTAGTTTTTTTTTTCGTCTGACGCATTGTTTAGAAGTTTCCTTTCACTTACTCTCTGGTTTAATTAAGAGCCGAAGGGGCCGCCGCTGCTTTTGTTACAAAATATCCAGCGCGGCGCTGGAAAAAGCAGCTGTTGCTGTTAATTTAATGGCCCGTAAATTTCGCCTGGCGTCGTTGGATGGTTTTTTATTCGGCTGCTGGCGCAGATTTCACCGAATGCCCGGCCGGCGTCTTTTTAAATGTTGCTAATTACACTCTTAATCCCTTTTGAAGCGCTGCGAGAATTAACTAACTTCAAAAAAGGCAAAGGGATTTCGTATTTCGTCTCTCCCTCGCGCAGACTTTGCTTTGGGCTTGTTTTTTTTTTTTTCTCTTGCCCGTGCGATAGCGGGAGAACAAACAAAAAAGAGAACAGCAAGGCAAGATTATCTCTCGTGCCTCTGCGTTTGGTGTCCGCGGGGAGGATCCAGGAAACACGAGATGTGCTTGTGTCATTAAGGGGAAATAGTTGTCAAAAATTTAAAACTAAAAACAAGAATGTGCTGGTTGAGTAAATGAAGAGGGAAAAAGTGAAACTAGCAAACATTTTTTGAGTAACAGAAAAATTGAGATCTGCAAAAAGCAACAGCCAGAAGTAAAATTCATGGAACTACCTAAAAACGTTTAAATATTTGAAATAATGAGAAAATCAACAATATTATTGTAGTTTAATTTAAAATTAAAAGAAACAGCAATTTAATCCTTTCCAAAGGACTATTCAAGTAAGCTATAAACAGAGTTAATTATCTAATTAATAAAAAAAAAAAAAAACGTTTTCGAGCTTCGGAAAATTAACGCTCAAAATCTGGAATGACCATTAACTATTATTTTTAAATTAACCATGTCCTGAAATTATGGGCCTGATAAGTCGATCATTTAGTTAAGCCGATGAATTTCAGTTTACGTCTTAGCTGAAAGTAAAATAAATTTCGCCACATCAAACAATTATATAAAAATGAATATTTTTATTTAAAAAATAAAACTTTCAATTTGCAAATTATTGATTTTTACAATTATTTATTTTTATATCAATTCACAGAGTCTGCAGTAAACTGATAACTTTCTAAAGTAATGTTTCGAAACAACATCTGCAATTTCTTGCATCTTTCGCAGAAGTAATTAGAACACCGAGCTGCGAAGCGAAGAGCATGCGGCGCCCACATTAAGCGAGCCGTCCATCCACCCGCTTTCCACCCGCAGTGCGCGCGAGAACGGCCTCATTTTAATAATTATTTTATGTAGTCGTAAGTGGGACGCGATAAGGGAACACTGCTGTTTACGACGGCCGGCTGCATACCTTTCAGGCGCGACGCTCTTCATGCATGCAAGCGAGTGTGTGTCGGCGGCCAGAGATAAGCAAACAAACAACACCCTATGCTTCGTGCAACGCGGCCAAAACATTCGGTCTAATTATTATTTTTATTTCTCTTGCTGCTGACGAAGCGGAAATCATCAATAAAACTTATCTTGCACTCAAATTATGTCAAAATTTGGAATTCTGAATTGATGAGAAAGTTAAAATTAAGTTTTATGCAACTTGCTCTACAGCCGTGCAAAGCACGGTGCATAACCATTAAATTTTCAAACCATTTCTCTAAAAATAGCTGAAATTAAATAAAATCAGTGTATATTTGTTAAAATATAATTTATGCACGTCAAATATTTTTGACAATTTTAATCGGTTTGGTCAGATTAAGTGGATCATTCCGGTTCATCGATTGCCAAAGGGTTTTTGCCTTGCCAACTTCCAAATTGCCTTCACTAATAATTCATCAAATAATTTAGCAGTATGTTTGCAAGCAATTTTTAATTCCCAAAACCAAAGTATGAATTGAAATTTGAATCAATCCTGCATTGCCCGAATTCAACGCGATCCCCCACGGTTCCGTTCGACCGCAACACGCATGAAGACGCACTCGCCCGTGAAATTGCTCCAAATCGCGTGGCAACCACCCATGCAGTTCTAAAATCCGACTTTTCGACTGCGGATAAATTTCAAATTTCAGTCTCGAAATCCCAGCGCGATTAATAATTAGGCGAGTGCGCTCTAATTTAACGCTCCAGTAAAAACTCTTGTTACTTTGCAAGTAGCAAAAGGCAAAACGCAACGAACCTTGTGTGAAATTTATACTGCGCTTTTCTTTTTAGTGACATTTTAAAAGAGTTCTTTCTAACATTAATTAACCTAATTATAAATTTGTTACCAATCTGAAGTGGTAAAATAAAAAGTGCAGAATATATATTTATGAGGTCGCAGTTTGCTCATTAGAAGTAATTACATCAGTTAGAATTTATGCAAAGTAATGCAATGCAAGGAACATTTACCTTAAAAATAAATCTAAATTGAGTACCTTGGTATATTTGATAAAAAGCATGTGATTGGATTTGTGTGCTGCAAGTATACTAAATAAATTTATTTTATTTATTTGTATTTCATACCAATTTTTAACAATCAAATAAAATTACTAATAACTTAATAAAATATATTTAAAAAATTTGTTTTATTTTAAAATGATTGAATTTTTTAGAAGCAAAATTAAACATTTTAAAATTAATAACCAGCTACTTTTGATAAAATTTATGCAAATTAATTTTTATAATAATTGTGCTGTTGTCTAACAAGAAAGTTATTCTATATAATAATAAAAAGTTGTAATTTAATCATGCCAAAAAAGTGCATTATTAAATTTTAATCTTGATTGCAAAAAATTAAGAGTTAAAAATGTTTTTTATACGTGTCAAAAAAATGCATAATATTTGGGTGAAATATTAATAATTTGATGCGAGGAATTTGAATGTTCCACAATTTTTTATCTAAATTCTAGATTGTGCCAATTTGCAGGCAGAGGCTACACAGAGACTACTAAGTAGGTGGATTTTGCGTATAGCAAGGCTGGCGCAATATTCATTAGTGTGGCGCGGCCGGAATTTTTTCCCCTGGTGATAATTCTTGGCGCGCGCGTCATTTGCGGGTGCTGTTTATTTGCAACTCTTTCGCCAGCGCAGATAAAAAGTGTGCGCGCATTGCGAACGTGATTTACATAATGCGCGCACACGCATCATCAGCACCTCTGGCAGAGAGATAAAGTCCCCGCGGACACGCTGAATATAACGAGAGAGCGAGAAAAAAGCGGCCCCGATAAAAAACAGGGCCTTCTATTATTATTTCGAAGCGAGGCTGGTTATTGCAATTTGGGCGAAACGTCTATCAGCTCTCGTGACACTCTATCGAGTGCGTGATCTGAATTTAATCTGCTCGGCCGCCGAGATTTAAAAACGCGCGGCCGCCAAATTTATCAGTTTTATATCCCCTTTGTAGCGGCACCA